GAAAAGTGGGCAAGATACTAACATAGCATTCATTATTCATAATAAAATAACAACAGACATACTAAACATCAATTTTTACTCCAAGAAATATATCTTCCTAATTGACGTCAACCGTCAAAGGCCTAAAAATTAACCGTCAACTGTCAAAATCGAAAACAAAATATAACTGTCAACCGTCAAAATCAAAATTAAACAAAAATTAACCGTCAACCGTCAAAGGCCTTAAAAAACTAGCCGTCAACCGTCAAAATAAAAAAAAAAAAAAAACCCTCCACCATCAAAGCTAGCCAGCAATTAAGACTCTCAATTAAACATTAATTTTATGAAAATTCCTTTGATTTTTTTTTAAGAACAAATATCCAAGTCACGTGGATTCGTGTTTAGATGGTTTGGACTTCTAAGAAGAGGGCCTGGGTTAACCGACATTGCAGCCGTCAAACGGCCTAAGAGTTGACCGTCAATCGTCGAAAAGCAGCTCAGTATCACTGTCAGAGGGTTTGATGGTCTATCAGATATCACTTTTCTATCAACTCGTCACGAACAGATACAATTATTTAGTGTCTATGTTTCCGAATATGCACTCACTTTGTTGTCATTTCCACTAATTTTCGCCTGACCTTGGTACCTAAGGAAGTATTTTTCTTTTTATCTGCAGCTTTTGTTATTTCCCGTTGCGTGTGGCCACAGAAAAGTTGCCTTTACCGGAAGAAGTTCCGTTCCTCTTCGAGAGATCATTTTGACCATCGACGAAGAAATTCCCACAGAGCAAGATTTTCAAGAACTAAAAACTAACGCTCTACCCTATTTATCAGACGTTCAGACTGCTCTGGAAAAGGGATGGAGGCCAACCAATTATTTTTTCTCAGGAAGCACAGTAGAGAGATTTGGCATCGCAATGATGATTTCGCAAGAACCAAGATGCTTCGGAAAGGCATCCTTAGGCTCATTAGATGCCGACCTTGACATGATGTTTTGCTGTTCGGGAGTAAAAGCTTCCTTTTCCGGTCAGGATGATCTCCTTGTTGAGCCAGTTGTCAGTGGTAGGGAAGGTTTCACGGGATATGCTCACCTTACTTACTTCACTCCCAGCGTCGAGAAAGTATTTGTCAGTTCAACCCTTCACAGACAGAAGGCGATTGATGCTGTTCAAAACATGCCCGTGGACAATCTACCCAGCGATACATGTTGTTTTGGCACAATCGACTCCGGCCCCAAAGTCAGTTTCAGCTCCAGGGGGCCCACGATGAAGCTTTGTATTGCTCCTCTTTTCGAGGCTGACTTCACCATCTGCATCCATTGCCTTGAGTGGCCACCCATGAGTGACTGGTCTTCTCGTCCAAGGTACTGGCCCAGTGCAACAGATGTAGAGAGAATCTTGTCACTTGGTTGCCATCTTGTGGCCAAACCAGCACCAAGCGACAAGAATAAAACAAGCTGGAGATTTTCGTTTTCCCTCGCCGAGGTGGAGCTTTCCAAACTTGTCCCAGACACAGCGAGGAAATGTTTCTTAGCTCTAAAAATTATCCTGAAAGACCATCTTCAACCCGTGGAGCCAAAACTTACTTCTTATCACATCAAAACTATTTTCTTGAATACTCTTGAAAAAGTACCAGTTGGTTTCTGGGCGGAGGAAAACATAGAAGAATGTTTCCTGGTATTGCTAGCGGAGCTTCGAGATGCTTTGCAGTCCAGAAATTGTCCCCATCACTGGTTCAGCTCCGTCAATTTGTTCAAATCAGAGGTTTCGCGGTTTTGCTTGAACACCATGCACTGGCTGCCTTTGGTTAAGAAAGTGGAAATAATTCTGCGCGACCCTGCTTCATTCATTTTTGACGATGGATGCTGTTGTCTTTCACCGTGCTGCTGTCCGGTGCCGCATCAAATATTTACTCGACGAACCGGCGATCAACTGTCTACAGATTATATGGAGATCCCATTTTCTGTCAATGGTCATGGAGACCCGTCGGTTGGCGATTACGCTGGTCAATCATCACCTGAATTCCCATCTCCAAGGTCTGAAGCTCATCTCCACGGTGGAAGTTTGTTTGAACACGACAAAGAACAAGTAATCACTTCTGAACCAGATCGATTTGTTGCACCAGGAGCCTGTTTGTATCCGAGTGAACCTGCAGACCAGGTATTGTTTCTTCCCGTGTAGAACATTTACCCCCACTCAAAGATCATATGATAGCTTATTGGAACTGCTGTTTCAGACAGAATAGGCGACAACTTCCTCTCAGATGTCTTCGTGTCAGTCCATATTGAGGACACACTGCAACAGGCTCATAATACAAGACCAACCTTGAAGGAAATTTTTTTTAATTGTTGTACCAGTTTAACATTTTTTAATATATTTCGAGCCATTTTTTTAACATCGCTCACACTCCTCACCTCACTTACTAGCTAAGTCGTTAAAAAAGGGTGTGAGTCCTCGATTTTGGTCCTCTTAGATAAAAATTACCGATAAGAACCGTTTGGTACACGATTTCCCCAGAACAGCTACTTACTTACATATTCAAACACTACACAGAGTAATTGTGCAAAAACGCTCGTTTTTCACGAACGGCTTCAGCTTGGAAAAACAAAGAAGCCGTTCGTGAAAAACGAGCGTTTTTGTGAAAATAGGGACCTTAAGCAACCAGGAAGGCAGCATCGAGGAAGACGTCGTTCAAAAGTTGAAGTTATATTCTTCTTTAGAATTTCGTCATGGCTGCATGGATATGTTTACGCCTTAACACCTCGACTTCAGCATAACGTTTGGGATCAGCGTTGATCTGCCGCTGGGGTTTCCGCTCCCAGCCAACGCAAATTCTTGTGATTTCGCGTTGTTAGGGAGTTTAAAAACCTAACAACGTCGTCAACAGCAACGGGAACGTCACTAAACAAAGAGTTAAATGAGCAGAACTATGGCTGTGCACGTGTTTTATAAATCTTTGAAAATTTCTTTGCGTCCTCTGCAAAACAACAACGTGAAATAACCAAACTTTGCGTCGTCTGGAGAAGAATAATTACTGCTACTTTTTTAAATTTCTAATTTAGGGCTGTGTTCCATATTCAGTTTCGAGATAGTTTTGACAGTGGGAAATAAAATAAATGAAATAAACGAAATGACTTTATAGTAACGCCAAATTCGTAGATAAAATATAATTTCAAACGCGCGTAAAACGCGCGTGCTGAGCTTTTGATCTGACCATGAGATCTTTTCTTTGGGGCCACGTTCTCGTTACCGTCACCGTTGTGGTTTGCTTAAAGTCCCTGAAAGCTGTTTAAAAAGACGATGCAATGCTTCCGGAAGTTGGCTGTTGTAATGATAATTTTCTCTTTCAATTTCGTGGCGTTACTTTTGTTTCAAGAATACGATTTCGTTTTAATCAATGTAGTAATCGTCTTGATGAATATATCACGGCGGATCTTTGAACTCGGGTCAAAAGGACACTCAGCTCTTTCATGTTTAAATGTTATTGGTTGGATCAATGATTATTCCTTTATCCCATAATACAACAAATCGTAGTTTCAAGATAATATCCTGTAAACATCATATTATTCCTATGGCTTGTGGTCGAATTTTATCCAGACCTCTTGAATACTCAGCAGTTTCTTACGTTTCACTCCTAGATTTCAGTATTAATTCTTTAACCGTCTGCCAGATATAAGTTAGTAATTGATATTTTCTTTGTTCTCATCACTGCTTGATATTACATCGATATTGTAAGGAGAAATTATTTCGTGGTCAATCCTGGGAGTTAAAGGGTTAAAGTTGCCTCTGATGTATGATTAAACAATACGTTTTCTACTCAGTGCAAAAGTAAGCTTTTTAGGTCCAGTCGTACACCCCAGTCAACACTGTTCGCAAATTAACGTGCCTAAGTTTCCCACAATTCCTGGCAAATTTGTCCATGGACCACCATTTTGCCCCAAAACAAGTGATCGAGTATTGTTTACCTACCTTGACCTCCAAGGAAAGTGCGAGAATTAGTGTTCACCATTATGGTTTTTCTTGTCTCCGTTTGCCCTCTCACACAAGATAAATAAGACGAACCAAAAAAACGGCCCCAGCCTGCTTTTCAGTCCACTACTTATGAAAAAAAAAAGGAAAAAGAGAATAGGCACCGATGGGATTTGAACCCATGACCTCCTGTTTACTAGACAGGCGCTCTAACCAACTGAGCTACGGCGCCCTTCATACGTCCAACTACCTTTTTGCTTGATTTAACATTCGTTATTATCATGGAAAAGTCACACCAATAACCAGCAAGGGTATTGACCAATTAGGTAACGTGACATTCCTTAACTTAAGGTGAAAAGCGCAAATCAGAATAAACAGTGGTCCAAACACATGAATCTCGGTCGTTTGTGAAGAAAAGAAAATTAAAAACTTGCAAAAGTAAAACTAGTAAAATTAGTTTCTGTGCGAGTTGCTATCGGTGGATTATAGCTGAGCTGATACGTTGTGAAAAATTGTAATTGATTGCACTTGCTCGAATAAATTTTCATCATGGTTTACAGAGAATGTACTTCTTGACATTCTCAAAAAATAGTGTGACAAAAACGTTTATTTTATGTAAAATAATAAGTTTGAGGGCCTGTCCGGGAGTCGAACCCGGGACCTCTCGCACCCAAAGCGAGAATCATGCCACTAGACCAACAGGCCGCTTCTTACTTACTGGTCTGACAAAAAGATATAAGAATAAAAGAAAAAACATAACGGGTAGCAACGGGTTGATCTAACCATAATAGAGCAATATTTGGATTTCATTTTCATTTCAGTCAATGGACGGTAACTCGCATAAAAGTCGCCACAAATTTTGGAATTATCACAGAGGCTATAGAAAGGGTTTGGAATGTCCATTCTAAGCTTACGAGGGATATGATGAAATTTCACACTTCGCCAATGAGATATCTAAGGCTTCTTCAAGATTGCGATGTCAAGATTTATGCTGGACAGTTGATTGTTTCCCACACGACACACTACAGTGAAAGCGCGGCTACTAAGCCCAAGCAACGGAGCGTTCATGACTACGTACCTCGGCAAGAAATTCAATGTGGCGGAAAGTGTCTCTACTTAAAAAAAAAACTGGAATATTTCACTATGATGTATACCATAAACAGCTGAGAAACATTTAAATATTTTTACGAGCTTCCAAACATTATGCCTGTAAGATTTTTTCTCTAAATCATGATTTTGAATGATACTTTAATGCCAAAAGAAGGGTGTACTTCTGATGAAATTTGTTATGTTTGGAAATCTTTCATGATCGATGTATTTTTTTAGGTGGACACAGAGTCGGACAACGTTCGGGTGGTTGTGCGATGTCGTCCCATGAACGAGAAAGAGGTTTCCTCTCACTGTGGTGTGGCAGTGAACGTCGAAGAAGGTCGAGGAATGATAACCGTGAAGAACTCTGGTGCTCGGTCAGGGGAACCACCAAAACAGTTCACTTATGACAGAGTGTTTGGCCCAGATACGAAGCAAGTTGATGTTTACAACGATGCAGCCAGGCCGATTGTCAACTGTGTCCTGGAGGGTTACAATGGTGAGAACTCTTGCTAAAATTTTCGTTAAGCTACGATGAACAGTGCGAAATACATATACATTGTACATTTGAAGACCTTCTCATACTGAGATTTACAGTTAAATGCCTTTGCTCTCGCCTTTATTTGCCTTGTCAGGGTGCGTTATCATCGTCAAAATTGATATGCGAACTATATAGTTAAAGGGTTAAATTTCTCAAAAAGTCTTTTTGGTTTACAATTACTTTCTATCAACAGCTCTAGCTCTTAAACCACACGCTTTTTCATGATTAAACGATTTTGATATTTGTTGCTAAAATCACCGTTAGTTCCTTTTTTTTCTTTGGAGTGGAGGGGGGAGAACAGTTTTCCCATGAGGTGTATATTTTGGATGGAAAATGGATTTGCTAGCAAGTTCAGTGTTTTAATTAATATTCTGACTCTTACTGTATAATGTCTTAACTTTATTCACCATGCAGCAGTGATTGTTCCATTGATATCTTATTCCTGATTGAGTCACAGTTATCTGCAGCCAGGGGGAGGTGGAGGAAGGGAGGAGGGAGCAGGGGGTAGGGTTTTGGAATACTGATATATCAGATATTTTCCAAGGAGACAACAATAGACATTAGGATTATAGAATTATAAAAGTATAGAATGATAAAAGTTCTCTAACCTAGAATGACCCAGCATTTTTAACCCTTTAACTCCTGTAAGTGACCACAATAGAATTTCTCCTTACTATATCTAGACAATATTATGCAGACAAGTAATGAGAATAAAGTAAAATATCAATTATGGGATTACTAATTGATCCAATATCAAATTCTCCAAATTGACATCATAACAATTATGCAGAAGACAGTAAGGAGAATTACTACTGAGATCTTGGCAGTTTAAGGGTTAACTCATGTCTACAAATCAAATATCAAAAATTTATGTGAAACAAGATAATTTACACCTTTACTGAAAAACCAAAACACTTTGCAATCAAATTAATCAATTACCAGTAAATCAATCAAAGAAATGAATGCTTGATACAGGTTGACGCTTTACATAGGGTCCTAAGAACAAAGTTATCATAAAAAAGGATAAAAAACATGACATCATATTATGTCATAATTGACCACTTAATGTGCAAAAACTTGCTCAAAAACACTACCAAGATTAATTTCTGGAGAAAAACATGGATCAAATTTTTCATGAAAGATTATTCTTAGATTTATTTAAGTGGTTCATTCTAAGTGACTGTTCAATATTGCAAGAGAACAATACAAAAAAGCTTTTTGGAGCTCAGTAAAGGGTGATCATGATTGCTTAATAGAGGTGAAAATTACAGTGGGGAAAAATTTGGGACTTTCACAACCAACTTCTTGTAAATACAGGGTCACCACTTAATCCATTAACTCCCAAGATCTCATTAGTAATTCTCTTTACTATCTGCCATATAATTCTTATGATGTTAGTTCAGAGAATTTGATACTGAATCAACTATGAATTCCCTAATTGATATTGTTCTTTATTCTCATTGCTTGTCTGTTTGATATTGTATTGATGTAATGAGAGGAGAAATTATGTCTATATGGTCACTCATGGGAGTTTAATGGTCAATATGGTGCAGCTTAGTACAGGTTTGACTGTATACTTGAATTAAATGTCCCTGGATACTTGATTGTCTCAAATGCCTGTCTGGGCCTGTATCAGTATGTGATCACTTTGTCTGCTTATTTTCTGCATTAACTCTTTGACTCAAAAGGTGATTAGATCTAATTCCTCCTAATAATATCACCCCTGAGTTACACATGTAGGTCACAAGAATAAAGGAAATGATCACCAACTAGAGAGGCTCTTGATAATTAAACAATGTAAAGAGAACAGTATGGAGAATATGCATACTGATGTTAGGGTGTTAAGGGTGTAAAGAAAGTATTAAAATCTCCTAGAAAATGATCTAGGCATTTGAGTGGACAGACCAGGGGTCACATCACATGAAGCAGTATGCACTGACTCATCTTTTTCTTAAAAACCAGGTACAATCTTTGCATATGGACAAACAGGGACAGGGAAAACTTTTACAATGGAAGGGGTCAGGACAGTTCCTGAACTACGTGGAATAATCCCAAACTCATTTGCACATATATTTGGACATATTGCCAAAGTAGCTGGTGACATAAGGTAGGTCAGATATTAAAAAGGTGAAATTGTTTAATACACACATTTTTATCTTTCTTGATATTAGCATTTCAGTTGATACAAACAATAACTGTTCTATCCAGGTTTCTTGTACGAGTGTCATATTTGGAAATCTACAATGAAAACGTGCGGGACTTGTTGGGCAAGGATCAGAATGCAAAATTAGAGGCAAGTTGTGATAGTGGTTTTTTTTAAAAAACCTTTGAGGACAGAAAACTTAAGCACCATTTTTATATCATCTTTCCAAGGTTACACTGATTTTACTCAGAACTGTGTCAAATTTCTATTTCTTGGCGCTTTAGGTCAAAGAGAGACCCGATGTTGGAGTTTATGTAAAGGACTTATCTACATATGTCATGAACAATGCTGATGATTTAGACAAGACAATGACAACAGGGAACAAAAATCGTGAGTGTGTTACCTAACCCTTCCTAACATTAATATCCAAATTCTCAATATTCTGCTCTTTTTATTTCCTTTGGTGCAAACAATGAGAATTTGTTGAACAATGGTGTTAGCCATCTGAACTTGATAAAGAGCATTGATGTGACTTCAAAAACTGCAGGATCAGTTTTCAGAGTGTATTATGAGACAATATAGTTTACTTTTCAGAGGTACCGGTACTTGCCTTGAATGAAATATAACTTTTTCTCGTAAAGCATTTGTCCAATCTGTTCCTTTGTTTGTGATTATAGGTTCTGTTGGGGCTACAAACATGAACGAACGATCATCACGCTCTCATGCCATCTTTACCATAACTGTGGAGTGCAGTGAAAAGGGGCCTGATGGCCAAAATCATGTACGCATGGGAAAACTGCATCTTGTGGACTTGGCTGTAAGTTTGCTTCATGGTTGGCTTGACTGGACATACTCAAACAGCAACCTGTTGTATGTCTCTAGAAAGTTTCACAAAACAGTAACCATAATTTACATTATTAAAGTTTTGCAAAACAGTAACCATATGGGCAGAGCTTTCAACACAAGAAAAAAAGAAGAATATTCCAAAAATGTCAAAATGGTGACCAAAGGCTCAAGGATTGTAAATCATGCCTGGTCACACAATCACACTATTGGCTTTGAAAATGCTTCTATCATTGATAACAGTGGTTTAAGAACAAGGAAGACTCTGGAAGCATGGCGTACCAAACTGACTCCTGCTGTGGTCAGTGATTCATGTCCACTACCTGGACAATACAACATTCTTTTTAACCGGCAACCATTCATAATCATTTGTAGTGTTCTCCCTTATTTTAAGCATGACAGGTAAAATAAATTTTACCTTTTGAATTTTCAAGAATTCCAAGCAATTTTAAATGGTAATAAGAGGTACTTCAGGTGGTAAATGTTACTAGTTACTGCCTGAAAAGGATAACACTGCATTTGCATCACTATTTCATAGTTTCTTACTTTTTTATTCAAATTTTTTCCGCTCCTTGTCATTCACATTTCACCCATCAAAGATTGCAGTTCAGGCAGTTGAAAGCTCTCAAAACTCTTGCCACTGAATCATAGGAAACATACTGAACCAGTTGGATTTAATGCAGTACAGAAACCAGCTTTTCTCCCTCCATCTTTCTGATAAGTCCCTTGCTAAGTGGAAATATCAGTATTAGAGAAAGTTACTTGCCAGACAAGAAAGTCAACCTGCCTTAAAGACCAGAACTGGGCTAAATCTTTTCAATCCTTTTGTGGTCACAAAAAAACCATTTTCTTTTTTCACCAATTTAATCAAAGGGATCAGAACGACAAGCAAAAACTGGGGCAACAGGTCAGCGATTGAAGGAAGCAACACAGATCAATTTGTCTCTTTCCACCCTTGGCAATGTTATATCTGCACTGGTGGATGGAAAGAGTACTCACATTCCTTACAGAAACTCTAAACTTACAAGATTGCTACAAGACTCATTGGGTGGGAATTCCAAGACAGTAATGGTGAGTAAACTGTGAAGCTACAGAATTTGTAATAAATTAATTGTTTAATGCTTCAACCCCTAAAGTTACTATTATATCTAATTTCTCCATAAAAAGGAAATGTGAATTAAAGAATTAGCTTAACCCTTTAACTCCCAAGATCTGATTGTTAATTCTCCCCTGTAGCTGCTAAACATTTCCTTGTAAATTAGTTATGAGAACTTGGTGCTAGATCAAGATAGCAGCTTCCACCTGATAAGTTTGAATATTCTCATTACCTGTTTGCTGAAGAATGTATGGAGAATGATAATTATAGATGAACTAATTAAAAAAAGATAAAAATTGTAATGAAAATGTGTTGATGTAGTTTCACTTGACAATAGGCATCAGATTCATTTTGAATTTTAATGAGCAGCTACAAGGTTCTTGGAGTACTAACCGTAGGCTTTACAACACAGCTGTCAAATGTCTGCATTTGTGCAAATGTTGTAATGACTAAGTGGGGTGCTTCCAGGCTGTCAGAACCATGTTGTCACACATGAGTTACAAACAACCACACATTAACCACCATTAGTCACTGTGTTGTAGAAGTGCATAACTTTTTTGATAATGCTTTAAACAGAAAGGTAAATCAACAAGCTACTTGTATTAAATAAGCTTTGTGTTTGAGAAGTCTTGAGTTTTCTTTTTTACTACAGTAACTTTTGTTTCTTTTCACAGACTTCTTTGAATGTTGAACTTTGCTTTTTTGCAAGACAGAAGTTGTCTCTTATGTTCTCTTTGAAAAATTTGCACAGGAAATTGGAGCTCCTGGCAGCCAAAATTAATCCCCACATGTGGGCCTTAAGTTTGATCACTGTATTAGGCTTCACAGGCTAACTTTGTTAGATTAGCTGTAAGAAACTATTTGTTGCCAAGAACAAAAGTTACTGAAACATTTTTGACTTGGATAGATTCTGTGGCTTTTTTTAACACACTATAATGTCTAATTCTTCAGATTGCTAACATTGGCCCTGCAGATTACAACTTTGATGAAACAATAAGTACCCTCAGGTGGGTGAAGTTTTGTCTTTAAAACTCATGCTGATAAGATACTCATGTATGCTAAAATTAAATTTTTAGGAAAATACACAGAATTTATCTGAAGACTAGGTGTGAGCCCCCCTCCTTGCCCCTCTCCCAGTCGATAAGTAATGAGCCATTCGTTAATTAGTATCATTAATTTATGACTTTGTATATGGATTTAATTGTTAATTTAGTCAATAATTTCACTTTGATAAAATTACTCAGTCCCAAAATACAATTTCGTGCAAGAGCACTCCAAACAAAGGTTATGGACTTTTAATGTAGGTTTATAGCATTAATCATCTTTCAAATAACCTTTAGCCCTTAAGAGTTAAGTTCCCTCATGTGTGCAATGTAAAATTTACAAACAGATATGCAAACCGTGCCAAAAATATCAAGAACAAAGCTAAGATTAATGAAGATCCCAAGGATGCACTGCTGAGAGAATTTCAGAAGGAGATTGAAAGACTTAAGGCACAGCTTGTGGAAGGCAAGTTTAGTTAATGTATACATATGGAGGCACTGAGGCCAAGTGATTAGGGCACTGGACCTGTTATCAGTTACTAAACAAGAAATTCACTACAAATTACAACATTTCCTTTACATGTAGCTGGAATGACAAATAAATGTGTTGATCCTTTAAATAATCCCTGATGAGTAACCAAGACAGGATCTCCTTTCAATATCACTGGGGACAATGTCAAGCCAACAAGTAATGACAATAAAGTAGAATATCAATTATTTGTGGATTATTAGTTGATCCAATACCAAATTCTCTGAGCTGACATCATAAAGATTGCATAGCAGACCATAAGGAGAATTATTAGCGATCATTGAGAGTGAAAGGGTTAAATTATAATAATTATTTCTGTTTCATCAGAGGGAGGCGGTGGTGAGGAGGAAAGTGAGTCTGAGGAAGAAGTTGAAGAAGGTGGAGAAATAGTCAAAAGGAAAAAGAAACACAGAAAAAAAAGTAAGTTGATAAACAACAATGATACAAGCAACAAATTTATTTTCCTTAGTGATTAAAATACGCATGGAACAATCCCTACCTGCAAAATAGCAAGGCTAATCAAAGTGGAAGCAACATAGACATTGAAAATTCTTCAATGACAAGTTTTACGGATCAAAAGAAATGACTAAATGAACATGCATATGAAAACAGGAGCAAGCAATGAAAACAGGCCCCAGTTGTTCAAAGGTTGGATAATGCTATCCATTGGATAAATTGCTAGACAGTGGACAATGCAATATTTTTTGCTATCATTTATCAGCTGGATAGCAATTTATGTGCTGGATAGTGTTATCCACCCTTTATTCAACTGGCCCAGTGTGGATACTACAACTTGAATAAAGTTTATATAGGAAAGGAATGAATCTTAAAAGATTATGATTTGCTAAACTCATCAATTAACAGGTTTGATATATACTTGGGAACCTTATTTAAGACCAATTTAAAACCTCTGATATTAATCCTTCTGAAAATTGCTTGAAAATGTGTACATTGTTTGATTAATTTGTGAACTGAGATGAAGTGCACTGTTTTGAATTTGTTCACTTTCAGAATGGGCCAGGTTATATCTAAAATTCTGACCAGTATTTCTTAAATTTTTTTTTTCACATGTATAGACTAATTGGGACGTAAGTTATTTTTAAGAAGGCTGAGTAGTATCCTTCAAATTTTTAATTTTTTTTCCACTTAAAGAAAAAATCAAATGGTTTTTCACTTTGCTTGATACAAAAAAAAAATATAAATTTAGTGGCCTGTTCCTAATATCTCTTGGTTACCCTGAAATATCAACTCAACTTGAAATTATTGTTCAAAATTTGTACAATACGTCATAGTTACGTAGAAGTTCATATTTATTACTGAACTTTCTGGTACTCCAGGTTACCTGATCTTATATTTAACAAATAGATTCCAAGTTGCTGTGCATCTGTTACTGATCTTTTACTGAACAGACGCACGGAAACTTGGAATCTATTTGTTTTATATAATAAAAAATTTAAAAAAGTTTTATTGATGATGTCATCTATACATCTGTCCTCCAATAGATCATAAGTGAGAACCAATCAGAATGCGTGCATAACTGAGCTTATTATAAACTAAGGGTAATAGATTTTGTTTTTGTACTCCTGTAGGCAAGCATGCTCTTCCACCTGAGAAAGTTAAAGAACTTAGAGCTAAGATAGAAGCAGAAAGAGAAAATCTGCAACAGAAAACAGACATGGCAGAGGAAGAGAGAAATAAGGCTGCAGAAGAACTAGAAAAGAGAGAGAAGGATATCAAGGATTCTGAGTATGGACTTAATTCATTCTTGTTTATTGCAGGACTTTGTTTGGGTTGTAGTACTGAGATATGAAATCTGTGGTGATTTAGTTGCTAGCATGATTTAGTTTGGGTCACAAAGTTCAGGTTTAAGCTGTGACTGGTTCATTATGTCATTATCTCAAGAGCAAGCTGCTTTCTCTCTCAGTCAGAACTCCTCACAGAATTTTAGCTAATTGGTATTTTTAGCATAAGGTTGTGGAAACCAAAGGTCTGAGCTTCAGTTCTTCATGGAGACTCACAGGTTAACAAAAAGATGCTATGTTGCTGTATGCTTATTCAGTTAAAGATCACAGATGACATTACAAAATGTGGTGAGAACAAAAAAGTGGCATGTGAAGCTTAGCAGAGTCTGTCACTGATATTCTTTTTGCAACATTTTGACTTCTTCTGTGATTGTTAATGAACAGACCCACCACAACCGAGAATTGATTTGTTGTGTTTAATTTAAAGGCAAAGTGTTGTTAATGGTGATGTTATCCATGTGTCTGCCCTACAATAGATTTTATGGAAGAACCATGGAAGAACCAATCAAAATGCGTGAATAATTCATCGTAAAATTTGAAAAGCTGTTAGCTTAGTCACTGATTCAATCCATTTTAAATTTTTTTTTTGAAGAATGGAACACATACGACTTCAAGAGAAACTTAAGGCTGTGGAAAGCAAGATTATTGTTGGGGGAGTGAATCTGGTCAGTAAGCCAGCTATGACATTGAGTTTACCCCACTTCATTTTCAACCCTTTAACTCCTAAGATCCAAAGATCATTTCTCCTCACTGTCTGTTATACATTTCTTATAATTGTGGCACAGAGAATTCAATATCAAATCAAACAATATCCATAAGTTGATGTTTTTCTATCTTCCTAACATCTTTCTTCAGGACAATAGACTGACATTGTATGGAGAAATTACAAATTGGTCACTCCTAGGTGAAAGTGTTAAATGTGGATTGTTACTATCTGAATGATATGGTACCTCAACTGCCATATCTGTACTTTCTGTATAGAAGATGGTGATTTCCAAGGCTTCAGCACTAATTTAAATTAAAAGAATTTTACCTACATGTGTAAATAGTTTGTTGAATTTCACTAGTATGTTATGTTAAATGTTAATCCATTGACCCCTGAGAATTACTAACATCAAATTTCTCCACACAATATCAGCCATGAATCACACATTAAGGTCACCAGAATAAAGGAATTGATCACCAAATCAAGAAGCTCCTGATTATTAGGCAAATTCTTTTTGGAAATTCTTCCTTTGGAAATGTATAGAGAACAGTATGGAGAATATGCATACTGATCTTAGGGTGGAAAGGGTGAATGCAAATCTTTCATTGTGAGTGGTTGACATGGTCTTGCAGTTAAAACTTTTTTTTTTTTTTTGGTCCAACCTTTGAGACAAAATGTTCTTTACTGTGTCATTGTCAATTTATAGCTGGAAAAGGCCAAAGAACAAGAGCTCCTCTTGGAACAATCTGCGAAAGAACTCTCTGCTAGAAAGCAAAGAGAGGAAGAATTGCAGAAACTTATTGAAGAAAAAGAGGTAAGTTGAATGTGTGCAAAATATCCCAACTAAACAGTGGATAAGAATTTTATAGCCACCCTTAAATCAGATGGACTCAAGTGATTTCCCAAATTATACTGACATCAATTTGAGAATGCCCGTAAAGATACCTCTTGCAAATTGAGTTTGAGTAAGTTGAGTTCAAGTAAGTTGAATTCTGTAAGTTACAGAACCTCAATTTTTCCACTGTGATTTACAGCGTGCTTGCTTTGGGCTTGGGCCATGAAAGCTGAGTGGAAAAAAAAACTTGGTCTGTAGCTTCTATAGAAAACATGGTTAATAACTGAAGATATGTATTTTATCTTTGGGTTCAGATAGTTGGGGGAGATTCCAATTCTAACAATCTTTTGAATTTAGTGAACCTTACAGTGAAATATGACCTGCTAATTAGACCAATGCTTACTAACTGAGAGATGTAACAGTACATTTTAATGGTGGATTTGATGATAAATACTCTGACAGTGAGTTTATTTGGTTGATGTGTCTTTCATGTAGCAAGAGAGAATTGACATTGAGGAAAAGTATGCAAATCTTCAAGAAGAAGCTGCTGGGAAAACTAAGAAGCTTAAGAAAGTTTGGAGCATGCTTATGAGTGCAAAATCAGAGGTATTTAATATGTTGATATTGAGAATTGAATTGTAAAAACCACTCACAAACCAAGAGGCCTATACCTCCTTAGCTAAACCTGCTCTCTACAGAACTACATGTATGTGACAATTTTTTATGGCTTTTTTTCCTTGGGTGAGATGCTAGTCCATTCTATATTGCAACCCTTTCCCCCTTCCTACCAGCAGTTGTTGCCATTTATGCACCTGAATGGAAAGGGACAGTCTAAAAGTTGTGTGCACCTCAGGGAAATTTTTGCTCCTAAATACTTATTTAAATGTGACTACATGCATGGTGTTGTGTGTCAACTAATTTTGTTGCTGTTTGTGATTGATTACCGTACTCTCATATTTTTTTAAATAACTTCTTTGGCAATTTTTCTTCTCTTCAGATGGCAGACCAACAACAAGAACACCAGCGTGAAACAGAAGGTTTGTTGGACAGTATTAGGGAGCTGCGGAAAGAACTTCAGTTTGAAACCAAGCTGATTGAGAGCTTCATTCCTCTTGAATTTCAGGTGAGATTGCATCCTACACTTGATTATGGCCACTTCTGACAATGAGTGAAGTTAGCTGATAAATAAGTATTGTTATCTTTTGCAAACTTACACTTTCTTAAACTTTTTCTCAGGATCTAATTGAGCAGCATGTATCATGGAATGAAGAATTAGGAGAATGGCAGCTTGTAAGTGATGCTGTATGATAATAATTATAATGATGATGATGATAAAGATTAATATTGATGATAATGATCATTATATTACCAACAACTGCATCGCAAAGTGGAGTTTGGGTGCCTCAAACATCCAGGAGCTTCTACTATTGGCAGCCAGTTCCTAGATGGAGACTTCTCCCATAACTGGCAAATCTTGGCACCCCAGCCATGAGCCCCCACACAAGAAAGGGCAACAGGTACCTGTCACACTGAATGAACAGTGGAAAGAGGGAGGGAAAGGGTGGGGAAAACTGCCTGGGTAATAAGCTGCCACTCCTTACAAAACTGCAAGTTCACGCTCAAACCACACACAAGAACACCTCCAATGAAGAGCACATGGAATTCCAACGGTTGCTCATTTACCAAAGACTGCTGACTACTAGAGAACGCCCTGTTTTTAACTCCATCAAATTGCATTTAACTGCAATGATAATGATAATGATAATAATGATGATACTAATGACAAAGTATTAAAGACATATATCTCTGGTCTGCCAGCTTGGTTGGATAATCATTAAGATTTTCAACTTTAACATCGATTTTTCATGGTCATGATTTATGTGTCGATTGCATAAATTTAATAATTAATTCAGCCAAAAATACTATTTTATTTGAAAGAAGTGCAAAGTTGAATATGTGAAATGAAAATAGTCAATTATTGACATGATGATTGCTAGTTAATATAAGAATGTTTCAGGCAGTTACTTGTATTGTTGTCCTAGTGCAACCCAGTTGATATGATTATATATTAACTAAAAAGTCACATCTTTCCCTTCAGAAATTTGTGGCATATTCTGGGAACAACATGAGAAAAGCCTCTCCAAGTCCAGATCCTAAAGACAAGAACAAGGAGGTATACCATCATTCACTTACTTAATTGGTTACTTTTCCTTCCTTAAAATCATAAATACTTCTTACCAACCGAGTTCATGATCCATTCTGTGAGTTATGGCTCAAGTTTTTTTCCATTTGGATTTATGGCTCAATTGTGAAGCACATGGGCATGATTCCAAGTAGGAAAAACTAGGTTCCATAACACGCTGTGCAGACTGAGAAGATAAGGTTTATAAGATTAATCTATTATTAATAACTCTGTGCTTTTAGCTCAATGAAACAGATTTATCCAGTGTGTACTTGACTTATGAACACATGAACTATGCCTTGGGGTATGATGAACCTGCGGCAAGACCCAAAAGTAGCCGTCCAAAGTCATCCCGGCCAAAGACAGCGGGCAGACCAAAAACTGGGAAAAAGTAAGCATCAGTGGAATGTATTTAACTTAACACTTTCATTTGCTCTCTACTGGACGGCAATACACCATACACAAGCGCTTACATTTCGTAGTCAGCCATGAGACACTGCAGTTAGTCAAGGAGCAGAGTCTCCAAAAATAACACAATTCACAACTCACCTCACAGAAAAGGTTTGGTGCCATATTCTTATAGAACAATATCTAAGTCTGGAATCTCATACATTTTTATCTTTTTTTACCTTTGTACAACTTACTAAATTTTTAAGAGGTATGGTTAAGTTAATTAAGGGAAATAATATTTTGTTCAAGTTTGCAGGGGGTTAAAGTTAAACTGGTTTATGAGGTGTTCTACTGTTGTTACATTTCTTTCTTTTTAACGGCAGAAAAAAGTCAGAAGGTGAGGATGGAGTAAACAAAAAGAAAGAGGATGATGCACAGAAATACCCACAGTCCAAAAGGCTTTTGAGTCCAAAGAAACACTTTGCTTAGTAATTCACATCTACACTTCAGTAGAAACTGAGTTTATATTGATCAAAAGTTATATTTTTTTGCATTGTGAAATCAGGATTTCAAAGCTAATGGTCACTTTGATCATACACTCCATGCCATTTCCTTTCTTCGCTGCAAGTAACTTGAATGAATGGCTGAGACATTCCTGTTGGTCTTGCAAAGACAGATGAAGATAATTTGGTTTTATCAATTGAGTTGATAATGTAAATTGCCTCTTGTAAAGAGTTTCTACAGCTGACCTTGAGCAAAGGGCTAATGTTAGACACATCAACCCTGGAAACTCCTAACCAAGGTCAACTCAACTCAGTTAATAAAATCAAATTATCTTGTTGAACTGCTCTTCCCCCCCTCCCCCCCCCCCCCCCCAGTTTCTTTAGAAACTTACCCCTTTTATTCAGATGACAGAAGACCCTGCTGGCATTGAATACATACTTCATTCAATCCACTTGTTATGGCAAAAGTGGTTCATGTGTCAAAATTGAATGTGTGGAACATGTGTCCCATTTTAATTCTGCCACATAACAATGTCTCAAGATGGAGATAATAAACTTGAATGTTTATTTCTTTCTTACATCCTAATCATTTATGCTTGCATTGTGTTTACCTACCACATCAACATGTGATCAAGTGTTTTTGGAAAATTGTGGCGTGTTTATGTCGTTTAATATTTTTATTTGTGCTATTTATTTGAGAATAAGATACCATGTACATAGTACTGTAATTACAGATATGAACCACCATCAAATAAATTATTCATGCAAAGGATAATGAAATTAATTAAAGATACTGAACCATACCAGTTGTGTTGGCTTGTATCAATTAAGAGTTAGTGGTAACATGTAACTTCTCCCTTCTGCATCCATAAATTATCCAGCAAACTGGTAATGAGAATGATCAAACTCATCAGGTAGAAGCTGTTATCTTGATTTAACACCAAATTCTTGTAACTAATTTACAGGGAAATTTGTAGCAGCTAGAGGGGAGAATTAATAACCAGATCTTTGGAGTTAATTGGTTATCCCAGGAAACAAACCAACTCTTCATTGAATATAGGCAAGAATTGATTTTTAAATATTTATTATACAGATCTAAATAATTAATGGTATTTAATAAACATCTGATAATTCAGTTGATAAATCAATAACTCTAACCTAAATTATCTATGGAAATTTATATAAATCCTGTAACACAACTGCTTTTCTAGATATTTATATGATTTGGCAGACTGTATTCCATAAGAGACATTAAATACTTTCCTACACTTAAATAAATAATCTCAGATTGACCACTGACAATGACAATTGTTGAGAAGAGAATTCATGCTCCAGACATACTCACAATGAACACATGCACCAACACATGGGTTGGAAATCTCAAAGATAGTTACATACCATTACTAACTGAGTTCCAGGTCTGTGCTGTAAGTTACAGACCAAATTTTTTCTGCTCAGATTTATAGCCAAACCATGAAGTGTGTAGGCCATAAATTCAAGTGGGAAAATGGTGTTCCATAACTTACAGTATGGACCAAGAAAACTATTTATTATGTCTCTGGTTATCGAATGGAGAGAGAAGACTTGAATTCAAACATAGCTTTGAATATGACCTGCTAAATTGACTAATCAGGGCTCAAGTACTACTTGAGAGATCTGATAAAAGGAAAATGTCTTCCGACACTGATATGCACCAATGCTTTGCTGATAGAAATACCATGTATTATATGATAAAAATACTGGCACTAAATGAATTTAATTTGTGGAATCATTGTATATCATAATTGTTATGTTAATTTGAAACACCTTATATAAAACATCCATAAAAATCTTTGCAATAAATGTACCTGCAAATTAACCATTCCAGAAAGAAATGAATTTTTTTTTCACAATACAAAATTAAAGCCTTGTATAGTGTATACAATATTCAATTAAGCATACATGGTATAGAAAGGATTTTTTCTGTCTTGTCAGGAGCATGGGATGAAGAATAAAATTCTGATTGCCCATAAGGAATTGAACCTTAGACCTTCAGATTCAGTGCTCTGGTGCTCTACCACTAAGCCACAGAGCATTAAATCTGAAGATCTGAGGATCAATTCCTCATGGGGACTCAGAATTCTTTCTTATTCACCCCCACACTTGTGACAAGACACAAGGAACATCTTTCACCATTTCTTTACCAAGCTCAAAACCTTACCATGTTCCTTATTCAAAGTTACATGGTATTACCTTTTAACTCCCATAAGTGACCAAGAGAGAATTTCTCTTGACAATATCAATACAATATCAGTTGATGAGAATGCCTGAAAATGTAGTAAAAATTCTAAGGAGAAATTCCTTTTTGGTCATTCATGGGAGTGAAAGGATATAAAAACACCAAAGAATTCCAAGGAAAACTAATATTGTAAGATATGTTAACACTATAAATATAAATAGCCTATATGTAGCTGTACCCTCCCCCCCCCCCCAAGGTGATGAGGGAACACCTAAGCAAACCTGACATTAATTGTTTTCCATGTCGTCACTCTTTTGCAAAAAAATATATTATGACTTTTGATTGGTTAACCCCTTTTGTTGATTCTTTCATCAATTCTGATTGGCCAGAGTTGGTAATTTATTTTCATACTAACCAACAAGATGGTGAACAAAATGCTTTGGAGGTCAATTTTTCAGACGACAGCGATCTACGAAGAGGTTTTGAGGCAAGTTTGCGCAACTTTTGAAATAGAGACATTTCAAGAAGAAAGGAAAGGGAATTCCCTTGCTCCCGTTTCACCTTAGGGGGAGGGTACTGCTACACGTAGGCTACAGTATAAAGCCCCACATCTCCCACCCATGACAGCTTATGGTACCCCTTTCATCACTCATGAGCTCATATCAGCCAGATAGCCAGGAGAGACATCATCAACAACAAAATTTTCAACCACCAAGTCATCAGCTGGTTCCTTATTACTTGATGCTTCTTGGAAGTAGTGATCACTGCAGCAATTGCTTCCAGGTAATTCTTCCCACAGAGTTTGCTCTTCAAACTGACAAGCCTTGGCAATCTGATAAGCAACATCAAGACTTTTCTGAGCTTCCTCAAACTGCCTTTTCTGGTAAAGCAGCTCTGTGTTGCAAACGTAGAAATGGAATTTAGTCTGCTCAGATAACTCATCCAAACGACCTGCCACCCATTCAAGATGTTTGTTTGACACATCAATCTTGTGTTGTGAACATGATCCCTCTGCGGTCTGTTTAAGCAACAATGAGGCTAGTCTTATGTACGAGCAACACAACTTGTCCAGGGCACTGTCAACAGTCAGGCAATTGGTAAATATTGCTGCAGCTTGTTCGAATTTGAACATAGCCTCTGAGATCAGTTTTAAAGCAAACTTAGGCATTTTCTGGGCAAAACTGGTCAAAATAAGTCCTTCCTGAAAGCACAGGTCTCCAGTGTCTTCACACACCTCCAAAGTTTGCAGCTTTTTCCTGGCAATTGTTAAACATTCTTCTGCATTTCCAAGATAGCCATCTTTTTCATGGACATATGACAAATACAAATAAGCTCGGCCTATCAGCAAGGTTTTGTTTTTGCATTTGGCTGTACTGTCAACTGCTTGCTTGAGAAGCTGTTTTGACTTTTCATAAAGCTTCTTGCGACAGGCTTCTTGACTTTGCTCAAGGAAAAGAACAACTCTCAGGTCATTATCACTGAGCCTTTCCAATGTTTGAGCAAAAAATTTGTCCAATTCCTTGAAATTAAGTTTCTGCCTCAAATCTTTAAATTTAGTGACAATTCTCTTGTATTCTTGGTTCAGATACAGAGAGGGGAAAATTTTAGCGGCATTGATCAATCCATTTTTTTCTGAAGCAATCTTGAGCGAGGATCTCATGCAGGTGGAAATATCAAACTCTAAACTTGAAACCATTCCATCATCTTGAAACAATGGATCTGTGAGTAGTCTCTTTCCTATCAACTTTCTAGCAAACACAAAATCGATCTTTAGGGCAACAGTTATGCGAATTGTCGCATCTTTGCCAAAAAACCGAAACCAGAAACCAAGGCAGTTCTTAGCTGAGCCTTTCTTGTGTGTTGAAAGTGGTGAAAAACGACAAAAATCCTCTTGACACTCGTTTGATCTCGGCTGTTTGCCATTCAGTACAAGTTTGTTTACGGATAAGACTTGTAAAATGTACCTCAATCCACCATAACATTTCTGATCGCTCTCGTCCAGAGTCTCGTAGTTAATCGGCAAACAGAGCTTTCCATTATGACTGCTGACTTTAAGACTAACGAAACAATCCTTCTTCGGGTCTGGAAATTTCAATTTTGAATTTCTGTTTACCACAGGCTCCGACGGTTTTGAGATCACACGAAGAGACGGTTTTTCTGCTCTTACTTGCTCTAACAGCTTTAGCACAGCTGATCTCGTGCGAAATACATGCGGCGAATCGTCGCAAGTAAAAGAATTATTGCGCGACATTTTAGTTGCATTCTTTCAGCGCGCTTTTCACCAACGAACAAAGAAACTGTCAACGCGCCAGACCAAACAAAACGTCCGCCATTGCGTTTGAAGTGTCCCACAATGCACTACAAATTTTGTTGCTATTCTTTATCAAGGCTAGGCTACCAAATGTATTGAACAAGATGGCGACTCAAGTTTGTGGAGACACTTCCGAGGCAACAGAGCTGTGCGCTACACAGCGTTTATATCTTAAACCTACGGCCAAACTTGGCATACATGTCACTTTACCAGAGATCAAGGTCGCTGGAGTGTCGATATCTAACTGGGAAGTAATGGAGAGGTTAAAATCGATGGTGGCACCAGACCAATTCAACGTGTTAAAAGTTGTTGAATCTTCGATGGAGTTCATTCGCTTTGAGGGAGAAACAGACACCAAAGGTTTAATTATAAAATTTATTTCAAAATTAGAAGGAAAATTTATAAAATTAAGCGGATTCGCGGAACCCCTCAAAGTTCGGGCAGCGGAACTGAAGGTGAAATTTCCTTCTGTGAACGATTGGAATTCTTTCTTCAGGGAAGCAGGGAACTTAGACGAGCGAAATCCAGGCGAAAGACCGGACACTATTGTTATCAAAGGATTACCATGTAAGTGGTTTGCAGACGATGATTCAAAGAGCAAACCAAGTGAAGATGTTTTGGCTTCTGTTTTTCGTCGTTTTGGCAAAATCCGATGCGTAGATATACCAATCTTGGATCCTTACAGACAGAAGTTGTCAAACAATGAATTTCAAACTTTTTACTTCGGCTCACACCTGCACTTTGATGCTTTTATTCAATACAATCAATACCAAGGGTTTTCAAATGCTATGGGAGCATTAAAAGGAATGAAATTAATGCACATTTCTGAAGAAGGACGTGCTGCCACTGCTAATATCCAAGTGGATTTCGACAGAACATGTCATTTGTCAGCCAAAAACATTAAAAAAAGAGAACAAGAGAGGCTGAAGTTGATTGAAATGGAAAGGAAAGAGGAAGAAAGGAAAAGAAGAGAAAAGGAGGAGGCAGAGAGACAGAAAGAAATGGAACGTCTGGAAGAAGAAAGAAAGGAGGCTGAACGGAAAAAAATTTTACAAGATGCAATCAGGAGAAAAGAAGAAAGGAAAAGGGCAAGGGAAGAAAAGAAAAGAAAAAAACGTGCAGAAAGGATCAGGAGGGAGATTGAACGGAAAGAAAGACAAAGGCAGTTGGAACGGGAAAGGGAACAGGAGAAAGCAGAACAAAAGATAGGCGCCAAGAGGCTACTTATGGAACTTCTTCAACGTGTGGCTGCAGTGAAAGAACAGGAAGAGGAAGACAGAAAAAAACTTGAAGAGGAAAGGAACAAGAGACTAAAAGAATTAGAAATGCTGAAACAAATGGAAGAGAAGAAGCGAAAACTTGAAGAGGAAGAGAGGAAAAGGGAGGAAGAGGAGAAAAGAAAGAAAGAAAAACTTGAGGAACAAGAAAAAGAACTGAGAGATAAACTAATCCAAAATTTGAAAAAGATGGAACAACGAAGAGATCAGTTAAAGAAGGAGCTGTTGCAGAGACAAATAGCAAGCAGCACTGCTAAACTAACATCTTTTGTCAATGATACTAGTACTGGAAAATAAAGAAATATCTGGGACTGAGTGGTAAAATTTACTCAACCTAGGCATCTTGTAAGCATACTCTCTGTCTGGAATAAAGGGAGTAAATTTTTAAAGAAACTGTGGTGCTGCATCCATGAGGAATATTGCAAGATAATTTGTCTTTTTTTAATTGAATTGATATGTTAATTGCCACTATCAAGAGTTTCTAAAGCTGATGTTTCAAGTAATAGCCCTTTGTTAGTCAGAGCTCTTTACAGTGGCCAATTTGCATTATCAACTCATATGATAAAACCAAATTATCTTTGTTTGGAAATTGTGTTGGGAGGAAAGGCAATAATGGGTGAGCAGCATACTAAGCAGGACTGCTTGTTTCTCCTTTGTAAGCCTTGTCATTACTGCATTGATTCTTGAATAAAGAGCTCAGTTGTAGGCTTTTCCAGGGCAATACATTGTATGCCTGATGTTGTCTTGGGGTTCATGCAGCATCTTGAATTTTTGGAAAATTATCTAAATTAAAGAAGCAGTGGCCTAACGGTCAGTGCACTGGATTCTGAGTTGAGAGGTCTGGGTTTGAGACCTGGCCTGGTCACTATGTTGTGTTCTTTGGCAAGACACTAAACTCACACAGTTCCTCTCTCCACACAGGAGTAGAAATGGGTACTAGCAAATTGCCAGGGAAGTCTGACGAAATGCTGGAACACAAGGGTCCCATCCAGGGGGAAGTAATAATACTCGTGGTTTGTTTATGCTACATGGAAACTGGGATAAGCCAAGGCTGGGTGGGTCACTTGGCTTGAGTACAAATTTTCTAATTGCCAAATAGCCACTTAGAGAATGGCTGAGGTTTGAGTGCAGTTATGGTTCTCGCATGGAAAGGACCTGCTGCATAGCAAACTTTGCCCTCATAACTTAACCCTTGAACTCCCAAGAACTTATTGTTCATTCTTCTCTTTAGCTGCTACACATTTTCTTGTAAATTAGTTATGAGAATTTGGTGTTAGATCAGGATAACAACTTCTATCTGATAAGTTTCAGTATTCTCATTACCTGTTTGCTGGATAATGTATGGATATTATGAGGAGAAGTTTCATGTTAATCACCTCTGCAAGTTTAAGGGTAACCCTTTAACTCCCATGAGTGACCAAGAGAACATTTCTCCTTACAACATCAATACAATATCATGCATAGAAGTGATGAGAATAAAGTAAAATATCAAGTAGGGGATTATCAGTTGATCCAATACCAAACTCTCCAAATTGATATCATAAGAATTGTATGTCAGACAGTAGAGAGAATTACTAATGAGATCTTGAGAGCTAAAATCTCCTTACTGTTTGCCAAATGATTCTCATTATGTTAGTATGGAGAATTTGGTATTAGATCAGTTAGTAATCCCATAATTGATATTTTACTTTATTCTCATCACTTCTCTGCTTCATATTGTATCAATATTGAGAGGAGAAATTCTGTCTTGGTCACTTAATGGATTTAAAGGGGTAAGGCTAGGCTGTTAAAATTGTAATGAGTTTAATTTAATCACAGGTTGGCTGTATGCAAGGAACACAGTTTTACATACCTGTCAAACCTGAATTAGGACCTATCTTACTTGAACAATGTGGCCCAAATGTTTTAGTCACAAACTTTTGCACTGTTGAGAACTTTAGCACATTAACCATTTACACCCCAACATCAGTATGCACATTCTGCATACTGTTATCTTTGTATTTCTCAAGGTGCTGACAATAAGAATTTGTTTACCAATCAAGAGCTTCATCAGTTGGTGACCATTTCCATTATTCTTGAAAAACCCTGTGTGATTGAGTATGATGTTGTAAACAGAAATTAGATGCTAATCACTCTTAAAGGGTTAAAGCCAGTGGCTTCTCTTTACTCAGGAAATATATAGAGAATGCTAATTTTTTTTGGCGAAAATACTCGGCTATAAGCCGAACCCCCTACCTTGGCGAGAATTTACCTGTTCTCAGTTTAATTTGTTGGAAAAATCGCTCGGCTTATAGGTGAATAAATACGGTATCATATTAGTGTAAGGTGTAAAGGGTTGAAATGTAAATAAGCACAAACTAGGAGAATACTTAACCAAGTTACATGTTTATTTAACAAAAGTAAACCCACAGCATTGAGCTAAGTTGTCTAGTACTTGCTCTACAAATTCTTTTGCCTGCTACATGTCTTCAAGGGTGGATTCTCCTTTCTACCCTTCTAGTATTCACAATGCACGTAAGATTTCTGCACTCACTTTACAGGACTGTCAAGTCCGCAAGACAAATACTAAGGTACCGTAATTAATTCATGTGCTTGAATCACCCACTTAAATATCACTGGAATTTAGTTACATGCAATAATTTATTGTTTCCGAGGCAGTAATCTGAAAATAATTGGTTGTTAACTTTAAAAAAATCCCAATGCATCCCTTTTTGCTCTAGTATTAATCTTACAAGAAATTGCTAACCCCTTAACTCCCAAGATCTGGTAATTAATTCTCCCTGCTAGCTACTACACATTTCCTTGTAAATTAGTTATGAGAATTTGGTGTTAGTTCAAGATAACACCTACCTGACAAGTTTGTGTGTTCTCATGCATGCTTGCTGGCCAATCAGAGCAAAGGCAAATTTTACGAGAGGTTGATAAGAATTTGAGGAAAATCAGATAATATGTAAATAACCTAAAACCAATGAGAACAAAGCTGACCAAGATTGGTTTCATTCTAGCGTCTAATAATTTTTTGACACAAGTTTTCCAGGCTTTTGACACTCAACTGAAAATTTCCTGAACCATTGAAAGAAATACAATGAAATTTTGTAAATTAAGCTGCCAAGTTTCTTTTTCTAATCTCCAGTTTTTACTGATGTGAGAGACTCATGTTACAATGATGATGTGGGATGACAACCACTCATGTAAGACAGATGGACAGTGAAGAACAATTCCAGTTTAGCTACTGGGACTTCTTGCCATCATCCTGTCTCTCAAAGAATTCTCTCTATATCTCCCATTTGTAACAAGCACATCCCTATGTACTTGTCCCTAGCATGATCTGTTCTTTCAAGATGTGAAGAACACAACCTTTTACCTCTTGAAACATGTTGTGTCCAAGTAGACTCACTCACACCCAAATGGGAGCTGATGTAGGTTGCAATAGTACATGTATTTTAAAACATAACAATACTAATATCTTTAAAGTAATCATTTTTTTTTGGTCATTATTGGTTGATCTATGCATTCACCTGTCCTTATCTTCAAGTGTTAACATTCACTGGCCAGTATGAAGGAGAAGACAAATAACTTATTATTATTTCAGACTGGGGAATGAAAAGCCAGAGTAAAATCTATTTAAAAGTGACTAACACCATGCAAAACACAGATAAATGTCAGTATCTGCACACATACCCCTCCCATAGCCCGATAACAGTCAATTTATAGAAAGTTTGGGTTAATATTGAGTTAGGGT